TAGTGCTAGTGCTAGTGCTAGTGCTAGTGCTAGAGCTAGTGCTAGTGCTAGTGTGCTAGTGATAATCAATTTTAAATTTTATTTTAATCACATTTTACATTTACACTACATTAAGGCAATTTATGGTTTTGCTCCATTGTGTTTAAGTAATTTGTTAAGTATTAAGTAATTTACCTATAGTCTTATATCTTCAAATGCCGTTATTCTTAATGTGATAGGGCCTTTGCGTAAATTACACCAAAACTTTAGAATAATTTACCGAAATTTAAATCCCATCTTAAGACCTAACTTTTAGCTTGAAACGTTTTTTTTTCCCATACGAAATTCAAACAAAGACAAAATAAGATTCCTATCTCGTAAAAAAGTGTATGTTGGAAGGGATTGGGGCAGGGCAAAAGCCCTCCGTCCATGGCTCCGCCATCCCTGTAGTACTGAGGGGATATTTACTTCTTATTTAGCTCTCAGCAGATGGAAAAATAATTTGTAGCGTGCTCTTTTCTAGACTGACTCAATCTTATCTGGTAAAAAACCTGGAATTGATTTGGAAACAGGGACTTCGATTCGTATTTTAAAACCGGATGTTTCCTTGCTCAATGACAGTACTACGTAGACTCGTAAGGAGTATAGTTTCTTGCATGTCTTTTCATATATTTTTACGACTGTTCGAAAAAACGGGTGAGATTGGACTTGATAAAATACAGTAAATGTATACATCAAGTCCAGCACCGACTTTGTGGTGGTCTCTCAGCCGAATTCGGAAAAGTATTTTTAAAGAAATAAATGGCGAATTGAATATGCTCGCTCATCGATAACTGAAACAAATAAGCAGGTAGCCGCTCTTTAGATACATTGAAACAGGATTTCTAATTATGATTAACCATATCATGTTTCTTAATTACAGAATTTAATCCATGTATCAACAAAACGTGTGACTATTTTGCAAATTGTCAAGCATTGTCACCAGGTGTTGCCCAGTGTGTGTGTATTGCTGAATGCCCCACATATCAAGATCTAGTTTGTGCAACCAATGGACAGACATTTGACAACATGTGCATCATGAAGAGAGAGATATGTAGAACCAGAGGAAACTTCACTTACTATCACCCTGGAGGCTGCCAAGGTAACTTTGACAACGACTTCTTTCTCCAAAAGATATTTCTTAAGGATGGTGCCTACTATTGTCATAGCGCACACTTACTGCGCATCTGCATCGAGGGATTCCCGCGGGTTTCAAAAGCAAAACACTCAAGGGTACGGAAAACGTCGGCCTTGGAAAAAATTAATACCAAGAACAACAGCAATAACTATTATTTATTTAGTCAAGGATGGATCACAGAGTAATCTTCAATAATTCAGGTGTTTTTGGCAAAAAATCATATGTTTTTACTTTCTAGAAAAAGCAGTTTCGATCGCCTTGGATCGGTGAATAATAGAAGAACTTTTTCAATATTTCCATACAGATAAGCTTAGTTTGTTTTAAAGTTAAATGAAAATTGAAAAGGAATCACACATTACCCCAAATATCAGCCATTCATTTAGCTTTTCCTGCGAGTACAATTACATGAAATAAACTTTTGTCGTTGGAAGGCCTGGTATTTACATAAACTGTCTTTCACTCACTAAAAAGTATATTCAAAAACGGTCACGCAAAGGGCATACTGACAAAGAAAATCATTATTTTGATTTATTAAATCTGTCTCTTGCACTTGTGAAGTTAAACTAAATGTAGGTTTGTATTTTACGAAAGTTTTTGCCTGGTTCTTGTTTTGCATGCACGACTGCCGTGAAACATTCATGAAAAGCAGTCCTTTTTCCAACTTCAAAAAAAAAAAATTACATACCATTGGCTTAAGAAAATCTTTTCTTCTACACAGGAAATAATTATTTGTTATTGCTTTCGAATTGGATAAGTTTTCTGGTACTTTGATGGCTTGAAATATCGCTTGTTTTCAGTTTTCCTCCTGCTTGTAATAATAATAATAATAATAATAATAATAATAATAATAATAATAATGGGGTTCTTATATAGCGCATTTTACATGTCTCAATGCGCTTCACAATAATGACCAGTGGAGGACTTTACGGGCTGCATATTAAGGCGCTATTAGCAGCCGTGCAGCTTACAATCATGAGTGATTTAATAGTACATTAGTGTTATGCCTCCAAATTGGGATAGGCTGTTGAACCGGGAGACAGTCCCCTACTCTTACACGAATAATTCAACAGGTTCTTTTATGTCCCCCATTTACTGTAGGTTAGGAAGGGTTGGGAGACAGGGCCTACGGTTTTAAGTCCTTGTCCGAGAAGACTTGGAGGTCTAACCATTTGCAGATATAATTACAAAGGCAGCACCTTCTCCTCAGTTATTTTAAGACCCTGAGTGTTGGTCCGGCCGAGGCTTGAACCACGACCTCCCGCACAACAGACCGAAGCTCTTACCAACTGAGCTAACCGGGTGGCTCGTAAAACCACGAAGAGATGAAGGAGCTGCTGCAAACACGCCAAAAACAGAGCTGGTCACGCTGTTTCGTAACGCCGCGTCACCCTTGTCACGCTTTTAGCACCCGATTTATCCTCAAAAAAAAATTTTTTTTAAATCATAACTTTTTAAAACGCGTAGGTACCCCCAATTTTATTCGTCCAAAATGTAACAGAAATAGTTAAATTATTTTTTATAATAGAGTTTTTAATATAAAAATGGTTTTGGATGCAAATGTAAGCAAAAATGTAGCATCCCTTTAGAACAATATTTTACACTTTTGAAGACAAAATTTGGTTTAAAAAAATGGTTTCTTATATGATACATAAAAGTTTATAAATTTGATATAAAGAGCACAAATAGTCGTTTATTTGAAACAAGTTTCAGATAAAATCGATGAAAACAACTTCGTAATATGATTTTTTTCCCTTGCGTAAAAAGTGCTTACGTCATCGGTGTTATAACGTCAATTATCTTACTTAGATGCGTGGGTATACCCAATTTTTTTTCTTTGATTCCAGTGGCCTCTTGGGTGATTTAAATGACTGGCATAATTTGAAAAAAATAAAAATGGTTCGCAATTAGTAGGCACCATCCTTAATATCTTATACATATAATTATTTTTGGCATGTTTTTCAAAAGGATTCCCATTGGACAAAGGGAGACACTTTCTTCGTCAGAAAGACTTTCCATGGTCAGATACTCAATGTGAGATCGTGTCGCTCAAGCCCTACACTTTTTATCCCGACAAACCCTTACATATCCAACTGACGGTGAACTACGTCAATGCTTTACCGACTGCCAAGGTACACGAAGCTACAGTAACTTGGACCGAGAACGTGAATAAGGCCAATTTTACTGCGTGTATTTCCAGGACAGGTAGGAATGACAATCCGTCATATGACATGGAATCAGTTGATTGGATAGCCTATCAAGGAGCACCTAACGGTGGAGTTACCGGAAGGGAACGGTTCACACGATGGTGGACTGGTACGACGTGTAGGACTGTTCTGTTTCCTGGGGTATGTATCGTATTTTAACATTAAATGAAAGTCAATGGAACATTCAAAATATCTATGATCTATTTCAACTAATGCGAACGATTAATTGAGCTCTATTAAAAATGACGCCTGTTCCAACTGCATTTCATCGTCAGAAGGTTCTTGCTCTTTAAGCTGATTCGATCCCAATTTGTTGTTTAATTCATTTAGCTGTCCTAGCTATTTTGAGTAGTTGTTTGCCCTTCTGGAAATTTCTCTTTTTTTCCGTTTTGTTGTTTGGTTGTAAATACATTGAGAGTGCAAATTAAGTTGTAGTTGTAGTTGTTGTAAGAGGAAGAAATCAGCTATTTTTGATATAATTATCACACACAGGGCAAGTTCTCTAGCTCTCCCACAGTGTTAGCTACACTGCAACATCAACGAAGAGGCATGAAACACGATGCTGCGAGTGTTTGGGTAGAAGATGTTGGTTCTTCGTCGTTCAAAATTTGCTTAAGAGAACTGCAGAACTTTGACGGTGTACATGAAGATATCAGTGTGGTAAGCCAGTTTTTGGACATGTATGTGTGAAGAAATATTTTGATTGGTTAGCGAACAGTTAGCTGACATATAGGTGCATAGAAGCGATAAGAACGTCATTCATTTGCTACAGCTTACTAAATATTTGGCATCATGCAGTTAGTTTCGACAATGAGTACAAGAACGAGTATGAGCTAGCGCGTTATTTCGCAATCGCACTCACGCTATAACGATCATAAAACATTTAGGTCAACATGAATAACGATCTGATCTCTACTGACTGCAAGGTGAGCAAGAAACCAAGGTGGAACCACTGGAAAATAAAATGTTTTAAGCTTGATGACAGCTCCAATGAAGTATACAGCGAAAAATCTGAAACAAACCCTTTTATTGCACTTCTTTTTACCACTACAAAGCTTCTACAACGCTTCCAAAAAAATTCGTAGTGAAACGAGACTATGGCTGCGCACGAGCTATCGAGCAACGCAACTAACAAATATAAGTGTCTCTAATAATGAAGAAGGAGCAGCAGGAGGAGAAAGAAAATAACAATAAACACCTTTATATCTCATACAGGACTGGATGGCATTTGAGATTCTACACCGTCCATTGTTCTCTGAATACGGTAGCATTGACTTCCCTAATGACTACACACCTCAACAATCTGATAATTACGCATTTTGCAAGGTAATGTGCTGAAAACAAAATTTCATTATTGCATGACATGGGGTGTTCACTTCTAAGTATACATTTGCTTAACCACACAACAAAAATATTATCTTTTTGCAGACCGTTAACCTGACGATAAGATACAATTACACCAAGCAGCCTTTAGTCATGGTAACACCAACACACCGTACAGGTGGTGGACGGAAGAACCCACAGTGCAATGGAATATCTGCCTGGATTGAGGTATGACAAAAAAAGGACACGTACAACCGAACGTCGTTGATATCATTATTCGCTGGATCTTATTACAGAATGTTAAGCAGGTTTGGGAAAGAGAATAATGATGGACAACTGGGGTCCAAAATGATGGACAAAATAGGAATAGAAGTAGTAGATATAAAATGAAAAAAATGTAGGCTGCTTAACAAAAGAAGAGGATCTAAAAAAGTTGAATGCACAACACTTTTTGACGGCTCATTCTCAAAAAAAAAAAAAAGTTAATAAGTTAATTAATTATTTAGATCATTATTTGTTTATACTTGGTTTGGAATTTCAAAACCATATGTCATCAAACAATGATTTGCTCCAAGTCAACTCTTTTTTTCGAGCAGTTAAATGTATCAAACTAAAACTTATTTTCTCATTAATAGAAAATCACATCTCGATACTTCCGTGTTTGTATGAAGGAGCTGTATGCTAATACGTACGATCCGGTGATAATGCATTATGTCGTGGTATCAGGTATTTGATTCGTTAGCTGAAAAATTACCAAATTATTAGTATTACATTTGTACTCAATAGAAGATGTCAGCAAAAATCAAACAAAATCGAAATTTGCCGGCAACAACCAAAAAAATCGATTTTGCTCATATTCTAGTATAAGGTGACCTATAGCGAAATCAAATCGTGGTATACTTCGTTTTTCGAGATATCGCTTTATTTCCGACAAAATTGAGAAGAAAAAAATTGTCAATAAATGACCCTCTGAGAGAGGCAAAATACCCTCCAAATTCGAGGTCTTAGCCGGTGTGGCTTTGCAAAACAAAATGTGTATGGGCTTCATTGTTCAAAAACTGTTTTTAACATTGTCTTTGTTTTAAATCTATGAAATATAAAGAACTTTCAAAAAATATTTTAACCATGTGCTAAATAAAATAAAAGGTCGATATTTAGAAATTTGGAAGTTAAAACAATGTTCTAATCGTGAGTAAAGTGATATTTTGGGGTTTTTATTCTGTAACGAGTAATTGAGATATGGAGAAATTGAAGAAATTTCGAAGAAAAATCGGCCTTTGGGTACAATCAAATGAATTTCAAATCATTTTCTAAATAGCAAAATATTTTTAAAAAAAGAAAACTACTAGCTCGAACTACTATAATAATAGAGAGAATAAGAGAAAAATATCAAAATATCAAATTTATTACTACTATACTATAATAATACGTAGTTTGAAAAGATAGATTAATAAAATTAAAATTATCCTCAAGAAATTATCATTTTTTCGGAGTCAAGTGGTTTTCTAACAATAGCGGCGTTGCGTTACCCAAAGTTCGTGACCCCGCGGCATTCTATAAGAATTGGGTTTGGCTTTTGATGCTACCGCGTCACACCTTTACATGTCACGTTCGTATTTACAAAGACGACTTCTACTGAAAATATCCTTATACGTTTTAGCTTCTTTAGGAGTAGGCTTTATTGGACCATTAAGGATATTTACATACAGTTATTATCAATCATTACGCTTTTAGAAAAAAGATAATATGAAGGGAAAATCCTTATACCACGGGCTGATAAATGAATTTTAAAAAAGTCATTCAGTATTAAAAGTATTGTAAATACTTTTACTTTAAATCTTAATTACTCGTCGCAGAATAAAAACCCCAAAAAATCCCTTTACATTGGAAAAAATTGCCCATACATTTGGAATATTTGCTCTTTTCGGTCTTTTTCCTCTCTTTCCAAAGCAAAAGGTTGTTCTTAAAAGTAAAGTTATATAGCACAAGTAAACTGCGTGACACAACGTTCTAAATGACACGTAAAGCTTCTGTTCTTCGCGAACTACTGTAGTTAGCGTGTTTTCGAGGCTACGAAACCTAAGARACCATAAGAGGGGAATGTATAGGCCAACAGATAGTATGAGCTTATAAAATCAGCAAAAATACGGTTCTAAATTTTAGCAAATTCCTATGAATTATATACCAAAATGTTCATGAAAGCCCGGGGTTTTCAAATCCACTTCTGTTTTTTGATAGGTTCTGTATTATTAAAAGGAGAGACGATTTTCTGGGGGTTTTTTTTCAATAGAATTCAATCTAAACCATATAATACAGTCCGTGAATAGTTGAATTAACTGAATCCACTTCTGTTTTTTGCCTAGGTAGTCATTATTTTGAAAAAAGATTCAAAAACCGTGTTTTTGAGACATAATTTGTATAGGCTCACGAGGGGGCGTGAGCTTGAAATCGTAGCTGAACATTTTTTTTCTGATGTCACGAATAGTACATTATTTCAACTTTTCGATTTCTTAATATCAACCATTTATTTTAGGCGTACCCTGGTAATTATTATTATTATTATTATTATTATTATTATTATTATTATTATTATTATTATTATTATTATTGTTATTATTATTATTCGTAACCATTAACTTATTCAAAGATTAATTACAGCTTTTTAAAGCTTAAACATTAATTAATACAATTTTTAAAGAATTCATTCCGTACATGCTTTTACAAAAGCAGCATATTTTGGTTCTCTCATCAGAGGGTTACCGCCGTTTGCATTACTACGCGGCCACCCCAGACACAAATCGCGTCGTGTAGTTTGCAATAGACTATTGCCTCAGGGTCTTACTTCCTAAGACCAACAAAATATGAGCGAATTTGATTTTTCGACTGTTGCCGGCGTATGTTCGATTTTTGCTGACATCCTCTCTTAAATTTATTGAATTCATTGTGGATATTGATGCATTCTTTTGCAAAATACAGCACGGCCTGAAGCAAATAGAGCATATATTCAAGAAAAGGAGTTGGGATTTGCCATACCTTTCTTTCATGTATGTAAGCATTGATTTGAAATCTCTCTCTATTTTACTAGATATTTGTGGTAAAGGATGGACGTACTTCGATGGTTTCTGTTACTTGACCAACTCGTCMTGTGCCACGTGGCAGGCAGCACWGTCAAGCTGTCTCAGTMGTAACGCTAGCCTAGCAAGCATCACAAGCCAGGAAGAAAGCATTTACGTTCAACACAGACACGGTGGAGAAACTGGATGGATTGGACTGCAGGATCTTCGGAGCAATGGAAACTTTACATGGATCGATGGAACTGAAGTGAATTTTACTTACTGGGCACCAAACCGGCCAGACAAACTCAAAAGTGACCAAAACTGTGTTCATACTCTAGGGCCGAGACATGGCTATTGGTGGAATGACATCACTTGTTCTGCGTGTCACCCTTATACCTGTAAAAGAGGTATTTAATAGTTGTTTTACAGTTGAGCCTGCTAAGCGATATTCTTTTGTTTTAAGAATCATACAAGTGAGGCTATCGGGTCGATAAAATACTTCTTGTCTCATTGGTATCTCACTTGCGTGCTTCCAAAATATCTGCTATTAAAGAAGGAATAAAAATATTTTAAAAGAAATTAATGTGAAGTGGTAGGTGTTCATCATATCAGTTACCTAATACCTAGGCAAGAGAGCAGATCCAGCTAGAATTGTCTAGCATTTGACTTCTAAACCGCGCTCAAGTAATAGTCCAAGCATTTTTTTTTTTTAATGGGAAAAGCGCTGAGCATTGCTTATTGAGAAGAGTGTGAAGTCAGCGGTATCGCATAACCAACTGGGCATAGGATGACACGAAGCAACAATGCGCTAGCAAGTGAATCCTGAAGGACAGTCATGATCATCAAAATCTGCCGGTATAAATAAAGAAAATACGATGGCAATCATGATGTTTTTTTTGGCTCGGCGTTTCGAGGGCTCAAACAAAATGGCGGATTTTTGAATTTGCACCCCCCCCCCCCCCCCGGGCCCTTTGGGAAACGCCTGGCTATGCTGATGATCTAATTTTATTCAGTAAAAACTATACAGATCTTCAAGCCCTTTTAAATAAACTTGAACTATAGATTCTCTAACGCAAATTGTCTAGATGTAAATATTGAGAAAACTAAAATTCTCATTTTCAATAATTCAGGGAGGCGGTTAAGTAATTATGTTTTTTATTATCAAAACAAAATTTTAGAAAATGTTAAACTTTACAAATACCTCGGCCTCACATTTAGTGCTTTCGGAAATTTCACAATTGCAAAACAGGAACTCAAGAAATCTGCTCTGAAAGCCTTATTTAAGCTGAAAAAGGAGATGGGTCACTCTTTTCACTATGACCCTCACCTCACCATGAAACTTTTTGACACACTAGTAAAACCTATTCTGTTATACGGCAGTGAAGTCTGGGGTTCGGAGGTTTCTAAAAATTATCCTATAGAACTTGTTCATACCAAATTTTGCAAAATGTTACTCGGAGTGGGAAAATATGCAACCAATTCTGCTTGTTATGCAGAACTAGGTCGACTCCGTCTGCATGTAGCTGCAAACTTAAGATGCATAAG